TTTGGATGACTATGATTGCCCCAAAGTAAATGATTTACCACCATTGAATGTATTGTGCCCCTTTCAACATGGAAGAAATTTTAACCATTGTGCTGTCTATAAAGCTAAAGTATTCACCAAGTTTTTAGAAACTATATAAGTTCACATTTTAAGATGATTCTTTATTCGACTCTAGAATGTCTGCCTGCTCACACCACCAATTGGAACATCTAAAACTGATTTCAAAAAGTAAATCAAAAGGCTATATTCTTAAAAAATGTCCAAACAGTGTTATTAAATCTTTGTGTGAATGTGCCCTGAATGTGCTTCAAGGAAACGTACCCCTTTCTAAAAAACAAAAGAATCAATTAGTCCCTTTTAAAAAAATTTTAAGAAAACTTTCTGATAAAAAACTACCACTTTATAAAAAGAGAAATATATTGGTTCAACGGGGAGAAGGATTTTTATCCTTGCTATTACCAGCTGCGATTTCAGTAATTACATCCTTGATCCATGGAGTACAGTAGAAAATTGATTTTGGTACCAGAAGATCGCGTGGAGGTAGCTGACCAATTAACTGACTTAGATAATAAAATGCAAGAAATAATTCGGACAAAGGGTTTACCCGAGAGGGAAAAGATGAATCAGTATTTACAAGTGTTACAAAAATTTGTTAAAATACATCATCCCCGACAAGAACGAACAGAAGAAGATTCTGAAAAGGAAGAAGACGTAAAATCTGATTCTGAAAAAGAAGATTCCATTACAACCAAAATTTTAAAAGCTGCGCCTGTTCGATACTTGAATACTGCAAGGAATATTTTGGACTTTATAAAAGAGAAGCCTTCCGTATTATCTTGGACACCCGATGGAGAAATCGTTTATAAAGGAAAACATTTACATCGAACTAATATTGTAAAATTAGTTGTAGATTTACTTCGAAATCGGAAACAATCTCCAGCAGGCTCGAAAGAGTTTCATTTAGCATTGAAAGAAATGAATGTACCTGCAAGTTACATCATGAATAAAAAAATTTTTCAGACTAATTCAATATTAGAACATAAAAAATCTAAACGAATGTATGCAAAACGAGATGATTGGATTTCACTTTGATAAAAATAAAAGAATATTTATATTATTTTTGCGTGTGTGTGTTCATTTACCAGAAAACAAAAAAATGCATATAATTTGTTAAAAATAAAAATAATTTATTTATAATATCTTTAGTAAAAAAATATGTTATTTAGTAATAATTTCGTAACTTTTATTTTTCTTCATCTAAAATTACACTACAAATGGTTTGTTGATTAATTAAATTAAAATTAAAAAAATATGCATATCTAAACTCATAGGCATTCCAATGCTATCAATATTTGAAAGCAATACTATCTTATCTGAAATTGGAAAGAGGTACATGTTATCAGCATTCTTTAAAAAAAGGTTGTATACTAGAATTTGAGATGAGTGTTCGAAAAGAACATACGTACAGATTTTTCTTTAATGATAAAAGTTTTTGAGTAAGAAAATTCAATACATGTTAAAATTTAAATATCAATGAAAATATTGTTTCATAAAATAGTTGGATTAAAAAAATATACACCTTAATTTTATAAATATAATACGGTAACGTCTAGAATGTAATCAATCGGGGTTTTTCCCCAGGTAAGAAGAATGTGAGAAAATCACTCAAAAAATAATAAGATATATAGCATGCTTATACAATTAGATTTTGTAAGAAAGTTTTCTGTAGAAATTTGTGTGTGTGTGTGTATTTTATGCTTTTCATGTTATACAAATTCTTTAGTTTAGTAATATGTATTAGTATTGAACATTTATCTGTGGGAAAATTTAACAAATGTATCTCCGAGTAAGTACAAGATTTTGTGTATTACAGTAAAGAAAATAATAACGTAGGTGAAAATTATTGGTGAGATAATTAGAAGTATGCACTATTTTTTAAATAAAATAGGTTAAGAAATACATTAGTGTAAGTTCCTTATACATATAATATTTTAATTATTTTGTCTTACAAAATCATAGTGTTTATTTCTAAATGTTTGAAAAAAAAAATGCATGCTAAGACATTTTATTTGTATCAGCAAGAAGTTATAGTGTTTATCAAAATAGAATCGAGTATGAAAGAAAAAAAAAATATTAGAAAAATAAGTGAGTTGAAAGAAAATTTCATGCCTATTTTAATTAAAGTACATTTATGTTAAAAAAATTCTGCATTTCATTAATTGGTTAAATATATAAATTCGTAACATTTCCCTCGGAGTTTTAACTATTCTGGTATATGATCTTCAAAAAGTTAACATATTAAATCTTTTAATACGAATGCTGTGTAGTATTTAATATTGGGTAGAAAATTTGAAATTAATATCGTATTTAAAAAGAAGTGTGAGAGACTTTTAAGGAAAACTTTAATTGCCAAACAAAGTTTCGGATAATTACATGTCTAATGAAGTGATAAAAAAAATGTAGTAACACACTAGGGAAAAATTATAAATTAAAAAAATAAATTCCTTTACAAAAACAAATTTTGTAAAATATAACAAATGCAATCGAAATAAAAAAATGGAATTATAAAAAAAATTAATTTTCCGAAAAAATAAAAATAAATTCTTTTACGAAAATAAGTTTTGTAAAATAAATTTGAAAGAAGCAACAATAAAAAAATAAATTCCTTTATAAAAAAAAAAAGTTTTGTAAAATGATAAAAAAATTTTTTTAAATCAAATTGAAATAAAAATAGAATTGTAAAAGAAAAAAATAAATAAATTTCTTCACCAAATAAATTTTGCAAATAGAAAATAATTATTTTTGTAATAATATAAATTTGTAAAATAATCCAATAAAAATTAATCAAATTTAATACAAATAAATTCCTTTACTAAACACATTTTATAAAATATTCTAATTAAAAAAATTAACGAGAAATCCAATTAAAATAGTTTCCTATTCTGCTTATCTTATCAGTCATCACGTAATCTCTCCAAAAACCTCTTATAGTACAACATTCCGGTGTTGCCACCGGGAAAAAAAGTTTCTAGGGTCCTTATCTACCAAAACGCCATCTCTAACAAAATCGTCACTTCCGGTTGCGCGCGCTTTTCTGATGACGTCACTGATGACGTACTTCCGTCCCTTATAGTGCCCCACCTACTACTTGCCAACGATCTCCAAACCAAATGGGCTTCCATCGATCTTTAGAATAAATTCTTTTTTATAATAAAGTTCGTACAATATAGGTAGTGCCAGTCAAAACGCGTTTTAATTCTTTAAAAGCATGATTACATTTCTTTTTCCAATTTATGCTTTATCTTTTAATTTTTCCTTTTAGAGCGTTTGTTAGAGGGGATGCAATTACCGAAAAATTTCCCACGCAATGCAAGCAATATCCGGCCAATCCTAAGAAAGCTTTGACTTCTGACTTGTGTTTTTGTGGTCGTCGTGAAAAAATCGAAAACGGCCTTCATTTTGACCTCCGCGGGAGTCCTGATCTCACTGCCTACAGCATGCCCCAAGTACACAGTGCGGTTCCGGGCAAATTTGCACTTCGACGACTTTATTGTCAAATTTGCGTCTTAAAACTCCATCGATGTGTTTTAAATGATCCTCCCAACTATTTGGATGGATGGGGCCTGAATGGCCGAATGGCTAGCGCTCTGGCGTTCGGTACCACAGGTATCGGGTTCAAATCCCGGCGGTGCCATGGATGTTTGGAGTAGTTCGGAATCCACTCTAAACCGTAGGTCCCGGTCTTAATAGGATCGTAGAGCGCTACGGGGGCATTGTTACTACGCGTAAATGGCTTATCTTCAAATGACACGCGCCCCCTGGGTAATGCAAAGTGAGTAACGTCTGTGCATCCCTTGCCTTAAGGCATTCAAGACCAAGTTATCTAAGTGAATGCCAGCTGCATTACAACAAAAAAAAACTATTTGAATAGATTGCAATGTCATCTAAATACAGCAATGCGAAATTTCTAATGCTTGCGACATTAAATTACTAAATTAATACGGAGCATTCACTACTGTGTTTAAATCCAGAGCCCGATTATTAAATCCAGCAACTGTTTTATGGCGGTCATCAGAATTTCATTTTGAAGTAAGGAAGCACAGTGCGGTTTTCACATAACCCGGCTCGTTGCTAATTGAATCACTATCTTACACGACTCCTGGAGAGTCGGTTTCCTGGGTCTCACCCAGTGCTCGTAGGATAAGGTTTTGAAGGTCCTTAAATTTCTCCCGTGAACATTCGCTGGGGGATGCGTCATAAACTCTGGGGAAGTTTCTTCCACCGCAGCATTAGTTCCGGTAAATTTTCTACATTAATTACGGCTGGTTTAGACTGAAAAGTGTGAATTAGGGTAAATTTCATCATACCTTGGGGCTTTTTTTTTTTTCTGTTTGTTCTTACAACGTGTAACAACAACATTGATTTGCTCTACTACTACTACTACAGCACACCCCATCACTGTGCCTAGAGCTGAGTTGCCCTTTTACAGTTTGGGACGGATGTGGGTGAGAAGAAGTCTGATTGGGCTCTGTGACGCTCTACGGTCCTATGAGACCGGGACCTATGGCATAAAGTGGATTCCGAACCACTACAAACATCCATGGAAAAACCGGCATTCGAACCCGATGTGACGAAAATAAGATAGAAATGAATTCGCCCACTATCATTTTACTGCATGAATTAAAAAAATTGTCCAAACTGATTAAAAACTTGTTCGCTACATTCATTAGAAAATATTTGCTTCGTGATCTTTATTTGAATTTAAATAATTGATTTCTGCCGTCGGTTCCGTGGTGTAGTGGTTATCACGTTCGCTTTACACGCGAAAGGTCCCCGGTTCGATCCCGGGCGGAACCAATGTGTCAGTTGTTATTTAACTATCATTTTACTGCATGAATTAAAAAATTGTCCAAACTGATTAAAAACTTGTTCGCTACATTCATTAGAAAATATTTGCTTCGTGATCTTTATTTGAATTTAAATAATTGATTTCTGCCGTCGGTTCCGTGGTGTAGTGGTTATCACGTTCGCTTTACACGCGAAAGGTCCCCGGTTCGATCCCGGGCGGAAAATGTGTCAGTTGTTATTTAACTATCATTTTACTGCATGAATTAAAAAATTGTCCAAACTGATTAAAAACTTGTTCGCTACATTCATTAGAAAATATTTGCTTCGTGATCTTTATTTGAATTTAAATAATTGATTTCTGCCGTCGGTTCCGTGGTGTAGTGGTTATCACGTTCGCTTTACACGCGAAAGGTCCCCGGTTCGATCCCGGGCGGAACCAATGTGTCAGTTGTTATTTAACTATCATTTTACTGCATGAATTAAAAAATTGTCCAAACTGATTAAAAACTTGTTCGCTACATTCATTAGAAAATATTTGCTTCGTGATCTTTATTTGAATTTAAATAATTGATTTCTGCCGTCGGTTCCGTGGTGTAGTGGTTATCACGTTCGCTTTACACGCGAAAGGTCCCCGGTTCGATCCCGGGCGGAACCAATGTGTCAGTTGTTATTTAACTATCATTTTACTGCATGAATTAAAAAATTGTCCAAACTGATTAAAAAAAACTTGTTCGCTACATTCATTAGAAAATATTTGCTTCGTGATCTTTATTTGAATTTAAATAATTGATTTCTGCCGTCGGTTCCGTGGTGTAGTGGTTATCACGTTCGCTTTACACGCGAAAGGTCCCCGGTTCGATCCCGGGCGGAACCAATGTGTCAGTTGTTATTTAACTATCATTTTACTGCATGAATTAAAAAATTGTCCAAACTGATTAAAAACTTGTTCGCTACATTCATTAGAAAATATTTGCTTCGTGATCTTTATTTGAATTTAAATAATTGATTTCTGCCGTCGGTTCCGTGGTGTAGTGGTTATCACGTTCGCTTTACACGCGAAAGGTCCCCGGTTCGATCCCGGGCGGAACCAATGTGTCAGTTGTTATTTAACTATCATTTTACTGCATGAATTAAAAAATTGTCCAAACTGATTAAAAACTTGTTCGCTACATTCATTAGAAAATATTTGCTTCGTGATCTTTATTTGAATTTAAATAATTGATTTCTGCCGTCGGTTCCGTGGTGTAGTGGTTATCACGTTCGCTTTACACGCGAAAGGTCCCCGGTTCGATCCCGGGCGGAACCAATGTGTCAGTTGTTATTTAACTATCATTTTACTGCATGAATTAAAAAATTGTCCAAACTGATTAAAAACTTGTTCGCTACATTCATTAGAAAATATTTGCTTCGTGATCTTTATTTGAATTTAAATAATTGATTTCTGCCGTCGGTTCCGTGGTGTAGTGGTTATCACGTTCGCTTTACACGCGAAAGGTCCCCGGTTCGATCCCGGGCGGAACCAATGTGTCAGTTGTTATTTAACTATCATTTTACTGCATGAATTAAAAAATTGTCCAAACTGATTAAAAACTTGTTCGCTACATTCATTAGAAAATATTTGCTTCGTGATCTTTATTTGAATTTAAATAATTGATTTCTGCCGTCGGTTCCGTGGTGTAGTGGTTATCACGTTCGCTTTACACGCGAAAGGTCCCCGGTTCGATCCCGGGCGGAACCAATGTGTCAGTTGTTATTTAACTATCATTTTACTGCATGAATTAAAAAATTGTCCAAACTGATTAAAAACTTGTTCGCTACATTCATTAGAAAATATTTGCTTCGTGATCTTTATTTGAATTTAAATAATTGATTTCTGCCGTCGGTTCCGTGGTGTAGTGGTTATCACGTTCGCTTTACACGCGAAAGGTCCCCGGTTCGATCCCGGGCGGAACCAATGTGTCAGTTGTTATTTAACTATCATTTTACTGCATGAATTAAAAAATTGTCCAAACTGATTAAAAACTTGTTCGCTACATTCATTAGAAAATATTTGCTTCGTGATCTTTATTTGAATTTAAATAATTGATTTCTGCCGTCGGTTCCGTGGTGTAGTGGTTATCACGTTCGCTTTACACGCGAAAGGTCCCCGGTTCGATCCCGGGCGGAACCAATGTGTCAGTTGTTATTTAACTATCATTTTACTGCATGAATTAAAAAATTGTCCAAACTGATTAAAAACTTGTTCGCTACATTCATTAGAAAATATTTGCTTCGTGATCTTTATTTGAATTTAAATAATTGATTTCTGCCGTCGGTTCCGTGGTGTAGTGGTTATCACGTTCGCTTTACACGCGAAAGGTCCCCGGTTCGATCCCGGGCGGAACCAATGTGTCAGTTGTTATTTAACTATCATTTTACTGCATGAATTAAAAAATTGTCCAAACTGATTAAAAACTTGTTCGCTACATTCATTAGAAAATATTTGCTTCGTGATCTTTATTTGAATTTAAATAATTGATTTCTGCCGTCGGTTCCGTGGTGTAGTGGTTATCACGTTCGCTTTACACGCGAAAGGTCCCCGGTTCGATCCCGGGCGGAACCAATGTGTCAGTTGTTATTTAACTATCATTTTACTGCATGAATTAAAAAATTGTCCAAACTGATTAAAAACTTGTTCGCTACATTCATTAGAAAATATTTGCTTCGTGATCTTTATTTGAATTTAAATAATTGATTTCTGCCGTCGGTTCCGTGGTGTAGTGGTTATCACGTTCGCTTTACACGCGAAAGGTCCCCGGTTCGATCCCGGGCGGAACCAATGTGTCAGTTGTTATTTAACTATCATTTTACTGCATGAATTAAAAAATTGTCCAAACTGATTAAAAACTTGTTCGCTACATTCATTAGAAAATATTTGCTTCGTGATCTTTATTTGAATTTAAATAATTGATTTCTGCCGTCGGTTCCGTGGTGTAGTGGTTATCACGTTCGCTTTACACGCGAAAGGTCCCCGGTTCGATCCCGGGCGGAACCAATGTGTCAGTTGTTATTTAACTATCATTTTACTGCATGAATTAAAAAATTGTCCAAACTGATTAAAAACTTGTTCGCTACATTCATTAGAAAATATTTGCTTCGTGATCTTTATTTGAATTTAAATAATTGATTTCTGCCGTCGGTTCCGTGGTGTAGTGGTTATCACGTTCGCTTTACACGCGAAAGGTCCCTCCCCGGTTCGATCCCGGGCGGAACCAATGTGTCAGTTGTTATTTAACTATCATTTTACTGCATGAATTAAAAAATTGTCCAAACTGATTAAAAACTTGTTCGCTACATTCATTAGAAAATATTTGCTTCGTGATCTTTATTTGAATTTAAATAATTGATTTCTGCCGTCGGTTCCGTGGTGTAGTGGTTATCACGTTCGCTTTACACGCGAAAGGTCCCCGGTTCGATCCCGGGCGGAACCAATGTGTCAGTTGTTATTTAACTATCATTTTACTGCATGAATTAAAAAATTGTCCAAACTGATTAAAAACTTGTTCGCTACATTCATTAGAAAATATTTGCTTCGTGATCTTTATTTGAATTTAAATAATTGATTTCTGCCGTCGGTTCCGTGGTGTAGTGGTTATCACGTTCGCTTTACACGCGAAAGGTCCCCGGTTCGATCCCGGGCGGAACCAATGTGTCAGTTGTTATTTAACTATCATTTTACTGCATGAATTAAAAAATTGTCCAAACTGATTAAAAACTTGTTCGCTACATTCATTAGAAAATATTTGCTTCGTGATCTTTATTTGAATTTAAATAATTGATTTCTGCCGTCGGTTCCGTGGTGTAGTGGTTATCACGTTCGCTTTACACGCGAAAGGTCCCCGGTTCGATCCCGGGCGGAACCAATGTGTCAGTTGTTATTTAACTATCATTTTACTGCATGAATTAAAAAATTGTCCAAACTGATTAAAAACTTGTTCGCTACATTCATTAGAAAATATTTGCTTCGTGATCTTTATTTGAATTTAAATAATTGATTTCTGCCGTCGGTTCCGTGGTGTAGTGGTTATCACGTTCGCTTTACACGCGAAAGGTCCCCGGTTCGATCCCGGGCGGAACCAATGTGTCAGTTGTTATTTAACTATCATTTTACTGCATGAATTAAAAAATTGTCCAAACTGATTAAAAACTTGTTCGCTACATTCATTAGAAAATATTTGCTTCGTGATCTTTATTTGAATTTAAATAATTGATTTCTGCCGTCGGTTCCGTGGTGTAGTGGTTATCACGTTCGCTTTACACGCGAAAGGTCCCCGGTTCGATCCCGGGCGGAACCAATGTGTCAGTTGTTATTTAACTATCATTTTACTGCATGAATTAAAAAATTGTCCAAACTGATTAAAAACTTGTTCGCTACATTCATTAGAAAATATTTGCTTCGTGATCTTTATTTGAATTTAAATAATTGATTTCTGCCGTCGGTTCCGTGGTGTAGTGGTTATCACGTTCGCTTTACACGCGAAAGGTCCCCGGTTCGATCCCGGGCGGAACCAATGTGTCAGTTGTTATTTAACTATCATTTTACTGCATGAATTAAAAAATTGTCCAAACTGATTAAAAACTTGTTCGCTACATTCATTAGAAAATATTTGCTTCGTGATCTTTATTTGAATTTAAATAATTGATTTCTGCCGTCGGTTCCGTGGTGTAGTGGTTATCACGTTCGCTTACACGCGAAAGGTCCCCGGTTCGATCCCGGGCGGAACCAATGTGTCAGTTGTTATTTAACTATCATTTTACTGCATGAATTAAAAAATTGTCCAAACTGATTAAAAACTTGTTCGCTACATTCATTAGAAAATATTTGCTTCGTGATCTTTATTTGAATTTAAATAATTGATTTCTGCCGTCGGTTCCGTGGTGTAGTGGTTATCACGTTCGCTTTACACGCGAAAGGTCCCCGGTTCGATCCCGGGCGGAACCAATGTGTCAGTTGTTATTTAACTATCATTTTACTGCATGAATTAAAAAATTGTCCAAACTGATTAAAAACTTGTTCGTTACATTCATTAGAAAATATTTGCTTCGTGATCTTTATTTGAATTTAAATAATTGATTTCTGCCGTCGGTTCCGTGGTGTAGTGGTTATCACGTTCGCTTTACACGCGAAAGGTCCCCGGTTCGATCCCGGGCGGAACCAATGTGTCAGTTGTTATTTAACTATCATTTTAACT